AGACAGAAGAAAATCATTATAATATCATAAAGCGAATATATAGCTAAGTAGGACCTCCTTTTCGAAAAAAGCTAAGTAGGACCCACTTAGCAACACAGGTCTATAGGTAGAGTTCTTGGTTCATACTGTGCATATATACATCCCACCACAAGATAATACTCCCTCCGTTCGGAATTACTTGTCGAAGAAATCGATAAAAATGGATGTATCTAGAACTAACATATGTCTAGATACATCCATTTCTCCGACAAGTATTTCCGGACGGAGGGAGTAGTTCACGTGGTATGTTAACAGGCATCTGTTCTAAGGTTTGTCTGTATGCACCTTCACATTTCTACGAAAACAGAACTGACATACAGGAAGACGATACAAAAGGTGCACATCAGCTTCTTACCAGAAAATAGTTATTATTTGTTGACTTGGTGGACCCCGGAAATCCTCATTGATTCGATGTTCAAGAACCCAAACAACCACACCCACAATAAGAAAGAACAACCCTGTAACACACCACATCTCCAAAGTAAATGGCTGCAAGAATGCCCAGGATGTTTTTATATGCTTTTTAACTGGAGCCAAGATAACCAAGCCTGTTTCAATGAATGGCTGGGTGAAATCTATAGCTACTGTCCGGCTCATTGTAATTGCAATATCCCCTATAGCTGCATCAAACTCCTGCAGGATAAGATGCCCCTGGTCAGTACAGTATGATAAATGGTTAGGAGAAGAAAAGTGGCGTTCATACTTACATTTGATTCAACCATCTGTATGAGTTTGTCATAACTAGGATTTTCAGTACCACTCCCAAAAGGTATGAGCTTGTAGCTAACAGGATAAGGAAGCAAGGACAATGCCTGAGTAAAGACATCGATGCAATAACCATTAATTGACCCAGTAGCATTGTCTTCCGTGACGAACTCTTTGAAGCTAAATCTGTTGGGAACACCAATTTTTAACTCCTTGGCATTAGAAGGGAAAACCCACCCTCGAGGCCTCTGTGCAGTCTCCCCAGGCCAAATAACATCATAGAGATTCTGATTGGCTAGAGAAGTATTAGGAGGCTTTGAATATAGAGCCTCTGGAGAGATGGTCGACAACAAGCCAGAATAATTTGACCAAAAACCAACGGTCCGCATGCCATTTCCGATGAGGTTTATAATGTCATATGCAGGATGAATGAGGTCACCTGAAGCATCGAATTGCACTTGCCCAGATGCCCCAGTGAAGTTTACCTTTCTGATATTCTCCAATAATTTATTTCCCATGTCAAAAATGCTCATTGCTTCAAGGTGAAGAGTTTCCCCAGCTTCATGGTGCAACTTTGAGTCATTTGAAAAGGAAATCCTACCACCATCACCAAAGAAGGCATCAAGAGCCCGAGCTAGTGCCCAGACACTATCATAAACATAAAAACCATAAGTATTTACACGAAGATCACTATGGTTGTACTTATGACTTTGCCTGCTCCACTTGGAGATCAAATTACTCTTCATCTTTGAGTTGGGGATATGTGGCCGTAAAGTAAGAACACCTTGCATGCCAGATATAATGTCAGCAGGAACTGATGAATTAGCATCAAGATATGCAGACAGCCAGTCAGTTGCAATCCACACATAGCCGTTGCCCATCATGTTCAGTTGATTTGCCATGGAGAAAAACTTGAGTCCATGTTCAGCTCCAGTATGGAGAATGATAACGCGAGACTCCATGTAACTGACACCAACCAACAAATTTATGAGCTCACTCCTTTTAGCATTGGAAGGAAAACTCACCTTGTAGGAGATTTTGCAACGCTTTGCAGTGAGTGCATCATCCAAAGCAATAATTCCATTTCTACCATAATCATTATCAATGTATATGGCAGTCACTATCTTCCAGTGGTTATAGTCAACAAGTGCTGCCACAGCCGCCATTTGATAGAGATCACTGGAGCCAGTTCTGACAAAGAATGGGAACTGTATTGTTGAAAGAGTTGCATCAGAAGCAAAGGACATCAAAGGGACTCGGAGCTCATTTGCTGCATATGAAATGATATGAGAAATTGTGGAGCACTGGGGGCCAACGATTGCAATAACATCAGTCTCCATGAACTGCAAACCTGATACAAGGAATACGGTGTCATTTTCATAACTCCATGAACCAAAAATTATTTTAATGATGCGATGAATGAGTGACGTTAAAGCTAGCCTACCTTGAACCATGCCAAGGAAACCATCAAAGCAATTTGTATCCTTTATTTTAACCTTTAGTGTAGTTCCATTTAGAACTGTTGGATCAGAGTTGATATCTTCCAAGGCTGCACGGATGGCAACCTCCGCAACACCTCCAGTGGTGGAGTTAAATTGAAGAATAGAGCCAATATTCACAACTGGAGGCCCTGCAGCTAAACTCTTGCAGATGCCACTAGGGAACAGGAGCAGAGAGAGAACCAACAATGTGAGAAAAGCTATCTCCATTGTGCCTCAAATGGTTCAAAGGCTAATGGCCGCTTGTCTGCATGTTAGCAACTTATTATGTGCTGAAAACCCCCTGTAAAAAAAGGACCATATAACAGATGTTACCGTCATACCAATGCATAAGTCTTGTATTCCCTAAAGTAACATATTCCATGTGAAAGACTACCAACATTTGAAAGGCTCGGTCAAAACGTTGAAAGGAAAAGGACACAAAAAGGCAAATGACAATTTAGGGAAGCAATTGCAGTAATTAAAAAAATGGATTGAATATTGCAAAGAAAAGAAACTTTGCGACATAGATCCAATTGAAGCGATGAAGGAAATGTCAATTCTGGTATGCGCCCCATTTATACTACTACTGGGAAGATATAGATCCAAGGTTCGGCTGGCAAGGCAAGCATCCAAGAAAGTCGAGAAGCAATGTGGTCCTTAAGTAAAAGCCAAAGCATTTGGCGTGGCCATACTACTCTCAACAGATTCCAGTCTGCGCACACTTTTGCTATGCAGAGAGAGAACAAAAGCCGCAGGTGACAAATTGTCAATCAGACAGCAAAAGGAAAAACGAACATAACAGAACATAGAACTATATATACGATGCTTAAGATGGGGTGCTTCCTGCAAGAGGACACAATGCCTGGGAACGGCAATCAACCAAACAACCTGAGCACAATTTTTTAACCAGAGAGAAGCTGCGACAGGATTACGACAACCAAGCTACAGCCAGAAAGTCTATGAAAGGAAGCATGAATGCCAACTAGAGAAGCAGACGGAGAAGTATGCATCGACAGGAAATCAGTATTATTATGCATTTCGTGCACATTTTCAGCAACCGACGGTGAACGGAATGAAACGTGTTAGGACCGGAACGAGACCAGCCGGACCGACACCCTGCGCACAATCCATCGAACACCTCGAGGACGAGCATGCAATATCAGCACAGCGGCAACATCAGCACACACTACACAGCCGCCATTACCGGAGGATCAATCCACAACCGGCACGCGGCTCTCCCTCGGATTCCTCAATGAGACCCCAAGAAACGGCGGGAACGGTGACGACTGGCGGCGGGCATTGGCAGCACCGCAGCAGGGAAGTACTGTAGGACTGTAGGAGATGGGTGGGGATTCGAGAGCAAGTACAGATTTCGACTTACGGATTGGATTCGGGCCGCGCGAAGAGGAAATGTCGGCCTCCCGTCGGACGCTGGCTGCTGCTGCTGCCGCGGCGCCGGTCGACGACGACGACGAGGAGTAGACTAAGAGCAGACCGCGAGCTGCTTCTGTCGGCGGTCGAGCTCATTATTCTAAGTGAGTGGTATTTATAGCGGAGGTATGACGGGAGAAAGAGGGAGACGGAGACGGCGGTGGTAACATTGCACGATGACAGGCGGGGCCCACCCCGAATATTTGACTAGGATTACTTAAGTTGACCCAAGTCGGTTGCACCACAAAGATAAAAAAACAAATCACTCCTGTTAAAATGCTTGAACCGAATGGAACATCTCTTGTTAAATGTGGTTTGAAAAATCCTTAAGATCTGTTTTTCATATCATTTAGTCATATAACTCATAAATAAATACTACTCCCTCCGTCTCATAATATAAGAGCGTTTTTTGACCCTACACTAGACACATGTGGCGATTCCATCAATTTTAAACTCCACAACTTCGATCGGGCCTTCAGTAGGCATTTGTTTGAGTGTGTGTGTGTGGTGGTGTGACCGTGTGCGTGCAATGTTGTTTCTCAAAAAAAAAAGGAAAACTATGCAAACAACCTGCGTAGAAGAACCCTAGCTAGAGTGTGTGACCGGCCAAAGAAAGGTATTAGATCTGATTCCGGTGATCTTTATATTATGCAGGGTGAGATGCAGATTAGCATGCCTGCAGGCAAAAAAAAACTGTCAAATGATCCAAGTCAATCCTTGGCTTGTTAGTTCAGCTGGCATTAGGAACTGAAATCAATCAAACTTGTGTCACGAGCTAACACACGGAGCCATGATTAATCAAGCAACTGTATTTACTGAGAAAGATTACAAAAGGTGAGGTGAGAACTTGGCTGCTTCATGTGAAGTTCATGCATTTCAATCCTCAAAAGGGAAAATTAAGTCCATGCATTTGAAGGCAGAATATATGTGCATTCAGCCTTATTCTTAGTCGGCCTTACAAGCTAGGCATTTGCATCTAGCCCTGCAGCTAGTGTTTCATCACATTCACTCCATGCACAGAGCAAATCCTTTTAGCTGTAAGACCAAATGATGCTTTGGTTGTTTCTGCTTTTCCTTAATGATGATTTCGCGCCCTTTTAAAAGAGCGCATTTCATAAAAGACAAAAAGGGCTATAACCCGCATGTGATTATCATCTGGTGTTGCATTGCCCGGGAAAATTCTCTAGGCTTTACGCTCAAAATATGATCCCTTGCGTGACTACCTTCTTATACATCATGATTCATTCATGTCCTGTATGCAAGAACGGCAGGTATACACTATGTGTAGCACCAGTAAGTAACTGGATGATATCTACTCTTCACCAACTGTTTCAGCATGAAGATCTAGAGTTCACCAATAGGATACTTCTCGATCAAATCAAACAACTCATCCCCAATGCCAAAACCGAGCATCTTGGCCATGTCGCCCGTCTTCAACCTGGGCTTGGCATGGTTCTGCTGCTTCAGCCACGAGTAGACGAGGAAAACTTTCTTCATCCCAAACAGCTCCAATGCCTCCGGGTTGAAGACCACGCCATGACGCATACTCATCTGCAGTAGTAGTTCATAAATTTCATTAACTTTGAACACGACGATACGAAAGTGTATATATGTCTGCACTTTTGTAGGGTGAGACCACACGTGCTGATTTCACTTTTTTTTATGGACACACGTGCTGATTTCAGATAAATGGTTTCTATGGTTACCTGGTGAGGGACCAGCATTGCAGCGTACCTGGCGAGCTCACCGGCTCTCCAGTCAAGCACCACCGGAAACCAGGGGTAGGAAGCGTCAAACCTCACAAACCATAGCCTTACATCTGGAAACTCCGACAGTTCCCTCGTGTCGTATGGATCCTCTCTCTCGTAGTTTATTGTGAAACCAACGGTTCGGTCCAACAGATTTCTTGATTGAGCTGAATAATGTGCATAAGATTCTGGTCAGTTAAAGCCTCCCGATGCAAAATGCAGTCACATGACGTTCGTGGTATGTCCGAGGACTACCTGTCGTTAAGGAATTCAGGTTGCCGAGGGCTTCTTGGACGGGCGATAGGTCAAGTGTTCGGATGATGTCCTTGTTGATAACAATCTCGATGCGCCCTTCAGTAGGTGGTGGAGGAGGCTCAACTTGTGGTGCATCTAAGAAAGCCATGAAAGGATATCAATTGAAAGCAAGATATATGAGCTCACTCAAGGAAAACAACGATACGAATTCCACGCCACGCACACACTATATGTTTAGTGGCCGCATGCATCGCCCAGATGTAGAGGCCGGGGGTCATCCTCCTTTTCTAAAAAAACACACACTATTATGTGAGGACTTTATAATCTGACTGACATATGACAATCGAATCCTTCACCCTTGAAGAAGGTATTAGAGCAGCTGAACAGGGCCTAACAGGGCGCCATACATGAGAGGCAGTTTGTAGGTACTTGAGCATTTCCAGGGCACATTCCCTGTCACTTAACATCATCATGTTGGTTGGAAAATAAAACCAGTTGTGTGTGGGTGGCGAAATTGTAGGCCTTGACCAATGCAGAATTGGTGTATGCTATGCTGTACCTCTCCAGCACTACTGAATACCAAAATCAACTGCCACAACGACTTTGCACAAATAAACTGAGGACAGGAACCAAAATCATGGTTCCGATAGTGTCATATGTTGAGATCTGGTCATATGTTTCGCTCAAAAAGAAGAAGATAATGCCGTCTGTTAATGTTGCGCCGTGAAACTAATCGTCCCAGGGAGAGTTTGGAGTGGTATTTTAATTGGGTTTCAGTGAAGTGGCTGCTAATGCTAATGTTGGTAGAGCTCACCGTCTTGGTCGGAGAGGGAGAGGTCGAAGTTGCCGGAGGGGTTGAACGCGACGCGGGGAGCCTGGAGCTGGACGCTCGGCGTCTTGGGACCGGAGCAGCAGAGGAAGGCCGCAGGATGGGGCGGCGAGCTGCTGGCGCCGGTGCTGCTGCTGAGCCGCCTCGAAGCAGGGCGGAGCGAAGCCACGATAGGGTGGTGGTGGTGTACGGCGGCCGCGGCGCCGGCGGCCATGGAGGTAAGTAGGTAGCCGCTGGCGTCGTGGAGGAGCAACAGCCTCCGGCGAGCGGCCCCCCTGGCCGTGGGTCTATCTTATTATCCGTTTATCCTGACTTTTATTTTTCGCAGGGGCTAAAAGGCAGGCTGCACGCGCTACGCGACAAGGAGCGGGAAAATCTCCATTCTTCTCACCTCGATCGAACAGGATAAGAGCATCTCCCTTATAATCTGCGACAAGTATTTTTTAACGGACGGAGTAGTAGCGTAAAATTAATATACACCTCTCCACCAAATACATTTTAGACGTTTTTATGAGAACTCAGAAGAGAGAAAAGAAAATAACACTATCTAGTGGCCTCTCTGAATAATGTGACCTCCTCTCTAACCAAAGTGGCTACTGTCTCAGGAGAACATCTCTTGCCTTTAAATGTTCGCCTGTTTCTTTCTTTTCACAGGTTCCAGGCCACGCAGACAACAGTCGTCACTCGAGGGGTGAGGTGAGGCTGCTCGCGGAGAGCCCAGGTTTTTTCCCATCATCCTCTAATCATCATTGGTGTTGCACTAGTTGCAACAACGGTATCATCTGTTTGATTAAAGCAAAGCCAAACCTCACGAGCAAAGGGGCAAATCATAGTGAGATGTGCCGCCGTCTCAGGAACTTGGTCGCACAGAACGTATTGAGCCGAGTGAGGCCATCCTCTGGCCTCCAAACGATCCGCAGTTCAATTCCAGTTCTGTTGTAGAAGCCACATGTAGAATCACACCTTCGGTTCAGCTTTGACCTTCCACGTAGCATGCAGCAAAGGGGCAGCAATGTGTCCTATGAACTGGGCCTCATATGCAGATTTTGCAGAGTAGACCCCATCATTCGTCAACCTCCAAGTGGTGGCATCAGATTCGTTGCTTAGAATCAGAGGTTGAATCAATTCCTAGAGCTGGATGAATTGGTCAATCAGGAGCTCGTTGTTCATCCTTTGGAGGCCCTGCATCCAGCGATTCCCGTAAAAGGGCATCCTTGACAAAGAGGTTTTTCCTTCGAGCAAGAGCAAAAAGACCAGGGGCCATATTGTTAACCACAGTTGAAACTTTATCATGTTCCTTTATCCTAACAAAGAAAGGTGGTTTCTCAATATAAGCAGAAGGAACAACTGGATCAACATTATAAAGTATAGTTTCTTCTTTAACTGGTACTGGTTCTTTAATTTCTTCTTTAATAGGTGGGTGATATTTAAACCACTTCTTTTTAGAGAGTTCAACATGAGTAGCAAATAGTTCACAAAAGAAGGCTACTATCTCAGAGTCAAGTCCATATTTAATGCTAAACTTTTGAAAAGCATCAGTATCCATAAAAGAGGTATTAATTTTAATACCTGACTCTTTACATTTGTCGAGTTCCCAATCTTCAGAGTTGCGTTTAATTCTTTCGAAAAGATCCCACCGTAATTCAATAGTCTTCTTCATAAAAGAACCAGCACAAGAAGTATCAAGCATGGTTTGATCATTACGAGAAAGCCGAGCATAAAAATTCTGGATAATAATTTCTCTTGAGAGCTCATGATTGGGGCATGAATATAACATTGACTCAAGCCTCCCCCAAGCTAGAGCGATACTTTCTCCTTTACGAGGCCAAAAAAAATAGAATTCCGATCATGATGAACTAGATGCATAGGATAAGTTTTTGGTGGAACTCCAATTTCAAACGATTCCAATTCCATGATCCAATATCATCGCATAGCCTATACCATGCCAATGCTTTTCCCTTCAAAGATTATGGGAAAACATTCTTCATCACTTCATCTCTGGGTAAACTTGCAAGCTCAAACAATCCACAAATTTGTTCCACATATATCAAGTGCATATCAGGATGTTCGGTTCCATCGCGTGCATAAGGATTAGCTAGCAGTTGTTCTATCATACCCGAAGGAATTTCATATTCAATATTTTCAGTAGGTGCAGTAGGTTGAGGGGTAGCTAATTGTCGTTCCGGACGAGGTGAAGATACCTCGAACAAACCCCTCAAAGGATTGTTTTCCATAGTAATAAGTGACAATAAATTTCAGCACACTATATAAATGTTTCCTTACCAAATTCCACTTACCAAAGGCGCTTCACTCCCTGACAACGGCGCCAAAAAATAGCCTTGATGACCCACAAGTATAGGGGATCAATTGTAGCTCATTTCGATAAGTAAGAGTGTTGAATCCAACGAGAAGCAGAAGGAAATGACAAGTAGTTTTCAGTAAGGTAATGTCTGCAAGTGCTGAAATTGTAAGTAGTGGAGTAATTTGATAGCAAGATAATTTGTAACGAGCAAGTAACAATTGTAGTAACAAAAGTGCAGCAAGGTAGACCGATCCTTTTGAGGCAAAGGACAGGCCAAAACGGTCTCTTATGATAAGCAAAGCGTTCTTGAGGATACACGGGAATTTCATCTAGTCACTTTCATCATGTTGGTTCGATTTGTGTTCGCTACTTTGATAATTTGATATGTGGGTGGACCGGTGCTTAGGTGATGTTCTTACTTGAAAAAACCTCCTACTTATGGTTAACCCTCCCGCAAGCATCCGCAACTACGAGAAAAGTATTAAGAATAAATTCTAACCATAGCATTAAACTTTTGGATCCAATCGGTCCCTCACGGAATAGCGCATAAACTGGGGTTTAAGCTTCTATCACTCTCGCAACCCATCATCTAATTGCTACTCCACAATGCATTCCCTTAGGCCCAAATATGGTGAAGTGTCATGTAGTCGACGTTCACATGACACCACTAAGGGAATCACAACATACATATTATCAAAATATCCAACACATATTAAGTTCACATGATTACTTGCAACATGATTTCTTCCGTGACCTCAAGAACAAAAGTAACTACTCACAAATAATAATCATGCTCAAGATAAGAGGGGTATTAAATAGCATATTGGATCTGAACATATAATCTTCCATCAAGTAAACGATATAGTAATCAACTACAAGATGTAATCAACACTACTGGTCACCCACAAGCACCAATCTATAGTTCTGGGAACAAGATTGAACACAAGAGATGAACTAGGGTTTGAGATGAGACCGTGTTGTTGAAGATGTTGATGGAGATTGCCCTCCCCAAGATGGGAGAGTTGTTGGTGATGATGATGACGATGATTTCCCCCTCCGGGAGGGAAGTTCCCTTGGCGGAATCGCTCCACCGAAGGGCAAAAGTGCTCCTGCCCGGGTTCCGCCTCGAGATGGCGGCGCTCCGTCCCGAAAGTCCTCTCCTTATTTTTTCTGGGTCAAAATGACCAATATACCAGAAGATGGCACCGGAGGTGGGCCTGGGTGAGCACAACCCACCAAGGCGCGCTTGAGCTCCCTGGTGCGCCCAGGTGGGTTGTGCCCACCTGATGGGCCCCTCTGGTAGTTATTTGCTCCAATATTCCATAAAAATCTTCGTGAAGTTTCACCTTGTTTGGAGTTGTGCAGAATAGGTAGACTGACATAGCTTTTCCAGGTCCAGATTTCCAGCTGCTGGAATTCTCCCTCTTTGTTTATACCTTGCATATTATGTGAGAAAAGGCATTAGAATTACTCTAAAAAGCATTATTATGAATAAAAACATTATAAATAACAGTAAGAAAACATAATGCAAAATGGACATATCAGCTGTTTGTAGCTTTTAGTCATGTCACACATTATATAAGGCATGCCTAGGATACGGGGCCAAGAGCTGATATCATTTGTAATCATATATACGCAAGTGCAAAAAGGCACAACTAAAGCGTAGGCCCGATAAGTACAGGGCCCAGCGTGGCAGCACTAGAGGTCGCAAGCCAATCGATGCGGGGGGTCTAAGTCAGGGGTGGAGGTGCTAGTCGGGTCCAACGGCGGGTTAACGTGCATATCTTAAATGCGGGCGTGACCATGATCTCCGCTAAGCTTTTAATGCAAGTGTTACCCCAATGTAATTAGTATAGCAATAGAAACATGTCATCATTAGTTGTGACATTAATTAATTGGATGTTTGTAGCCTTTAGTCATGTCACACACTATATAAGGCATGGCTAGGACACGAGGCCACGTCAATTGTAATCCTATATACACAAGTGCAAAAGGACATAACTAAAGCG